TCAAAACTAACTTCTAATAATTCACTAGAACCAATAATTAAATCGCCCGTAATTAAATCATAACTTCCTATCACATATAAAATCATAATACCTCAAAACAGAATCGAGAGAAACCTACCTACCTTAATTCCATCATCATGAATCAGAAAATTGCAAATCAGAAGATGGTCAGTCCTCTGTATTCCCTCACATGTCATGTTGTTTCTGATCAGGTTGTAGAGACATTAGGTTCTTTTTAATCAGGAGACACGAAAAATGAGCATTGCCCTCGCCGGGACTCGAACCACGGACATCTCGAATACGCGCCGAGTGTGCTGACCACTACACTACGAAGGCATGTTAAGAAGGCGGGAGAAATACCTTATAAGGTCATCACAAACATGTCATCGAAGCGAGGTATTAGGTCATCATTTTCAGATAGTGATTTTTAGTTTTCTTTATTGCTCATTGATACAAACATACACACAGCTAAAGAAGGAAACTATTATACCCGGCAATAATGCCAGATTAACATACAAAGCTCCGTTAAAATGTTCAGTGTTGTTATTATTGATTTTTCATAATTATATTTACAATTATTCGCAAACTGTGGGATATGTAGTGGTATATAGTCTGTGGGATAAGTAGTGAATAAAGGTCCGGCTGCAGCATTTTCGGCGCCCTAAGTAGTCAGTTCGTTGGGCGCTCGTATAAATTAAAAATTTAAAGTATTCCTTTATTTTATTTGCCGCTTATGAGAACAATTTAGCTGACGCCTTCAAAAAAATCGGTGCTATATGAGGCTGCCTAAGTCGCATATGCTAAGAGCCGGCTTTGATCGAGTACCTTAGTTAACTTACTGTGTCTGTGTAAATTTAACAAAACTTTTGTAGATTCAACGTAAGTTGTTAAAGCAGCACATTTTTTGTTTTATTTTTTTTTCTCCATGAGTATTAACATTTATGTTGTATTACTGCACTGCTTGGAATGTCAGCTTCTGAAAGCATCTCTACCAAGTTTCATCATTAATTAGGGATCTGCATTTACTCTTTTAGTGAATTTATTTGGAATATTTCTTGTTTTGTGAATTTGTTTTTTCTTTGATTTCCAATAAATGTGGTTGCGATTTGGCTTGGTTAAGTGCATGTGTTCAGGTGTGCATGGTTAAGTGCATGTGTTTAGGCTATGTTTCAAATGTTGCTTAACAGTGAAATTTCTGTTAAGCAACATTTGAAACATAGCCTGTATCATTCAGCTTTTGAATGGGGGGGAGGCTCTCCTTTTCTCTTTTAATCATCCACAATATATTCTGAATAATTTAAAATTTCTTTCTCTCTCTCTACAATGCTTATTTTTTTTTCTCTGGAAACTCGCTCCCTGCTGGTTTTATGATTTGAAATTTATTTCATGAAAACCTGTGGAAAGAAATTTTCCGCATCCGCATTTGCTTACAGAAAGACTGCCAGGCAGCAGAAATTTATCGTGTCTGACATTTCAAGTTAAGCCTCATAAATTTATGTTTTGTGTTGAAAAGCTTTCAAACAAAACCCAGTTTTATTAGTCGAAAAGGAAAGTAGAAAGAAAAGAAAAGCAAACTACCCGAAGGTTGCAAAATTTAGCGTCTAGACCTATCCAACCTATTTGAGCTAGACATAAAATAGGTTAAAAGCGTTTCGAGAATATTAACAAGAAATCCAAAGCAGTTGCACCTCAAATCAAAAATTTTGATAGGACGTAACTAATAGAATTATTAATCTGTAAATGAAATTTGGTATTTAAAAAAAATGTATATTTTGTAGAATTAAAAAATCTGAAAGTATTCGATAAAAACGATAACGGTGTATTTAATTACAGATGCATAAAAAAGAATGCAACGAAACTGAAGGAAAACAATTATTTTAAATTAAAATAAAATTTAAATTAAAATAATTATAGTTTTTTCTTTACAAACCTGCGAAAGGAATTTGGAAACATTCATGCATAGTGTATTAAAATCATTATTGCCTTGCGAATGCATACTCAGAATATGCATAAGCAGGATTGCGCAAAAGTTACTTTCCGGTTTTTTTCCTCATAACGTACATAATTGAGGATAAGAATTACTTTATTTAGGACGAAAAAAAAGGTTTTTTCTTTCAATTTTTTTAAAACATTTAAAAAATAATAGCTAACTAATGACGCCTGAAATCGGTACAACGATACACGATTCTGTTTCTGAGATTTCAGCAACTCTTGTCTATACCGCGTCAGTGTTTTCCACAGATCGAACAGCTCTCGGTCTTCCTTTACACGCCTTGATTCGGCAGAGAACCCCGACTGTTGAAATCTTTGAACCAGATTTCGGATGACTGGTTTCGAGGGTGCCTGTCGGATATTATTGATTTACCGTTAAGTTCGCTGTGTTGTGGAACGCTGATATTCAAAAAATAGCTGCACAATTTTTGCACGTTGTCTAGGTGTATACCGCTCCATGTTAAACAAATATCCTTAAGGTAGATTTGTTTAACATGGAGGTAGCCGATTACGTTCTAATCGTCAATTTGGATGAAAATTTTCAGCTCTTTTTATTACTATATTTTAAAGCTTCCCGAAACTACTTTGGGTTTGTCTCTGCGGTGATTAGAAACAGAGTTACGGCCGTTCATGTTCTACACCGTGAACCAGAAGTAGCCCGGACGTTGATGTTTAAAAGGGACACATATTATTTTAAATGCCTTCAAACTGAACATTTTTCCTCTGAATACTTTTGGTGATGTTCAGAAGATGGCTCTGAAACTTTCTATTTGTTATTAAGCGCTCGGGAACAAGATTAGCTCGGAAACAGATTTGGCAACGTTTTATTTTCATTATATTGAACTTATTTGTTTTGAAAAATTTCATTTTTTTTTCAACGTTTCTGTTAAAAAAAAAAAAAAAAAAAAAAAAAACTAACTTAAAATATTAATATAGTAGTTCTACGAAATGTTCCGCAAATATTTTATGAAATAATGTGAATTAAATTGAGTAAAAGCTTAGGTTTATGTACGTATTAAAATTTTTGAAAAACAACTTTGTAAATGAAAAGAGAAAAATTTCTCGAAAAAATAGCTAGTGCATGCACTCGAACAGGTACATTTAGTAGACATTTTAAACTGACATTTAGATTTTAGTCCCTTTAATTCCATATGTCTTAATAAATGGAAGCTAAAAAAATAAAAGTAAAATATTTATAAATATTTTTGTGGGAATATATCTAGTAATCCTGAAATTTTAACATATTTTTAAACCAAAATATGCAAAAAAAAGAGAAAGAATTATGCTCTGATAATATATTTATCCACTATTTCAGTCATCTTAAGCAGCATTCAACTAAATAACACTAATAACAGATTTATTTGTATTATTTTTCAAAATCTCAGGGCCAAACGCAATCGAATACCTTAAGACGTACTTTAACCTGAACTAAAGTAAAGAAACATGAGTTATAACACATTTGCATGGTATCATTTTAAAATCGTAAAGTAACTTTTGCTCTACCCTATATTAAGGTATTCCCACCTTTCTGAGTTAAATTGGGGAAAAAATGAACTTTAAAAATAGCTTTTTGAAATATTTAATGAAATGGCACGGCAGCTGCTAGGAATTGAATGGAAGGCAAAACTAACCAACCGCATTCAGTGAGTCTAGTTACTTAGTCATTTTGTAAACGTCTGTTTGTAGGATTTGTGATTAATTTATAAGGTATTTATTTCTCCCGCTTTCCTAGCGTGTCTTCGTGGTGTATTCCAGAGGTCCGTGGTTCGATTCCCGGCGAAGGCGGTTGCTATTTTTCATCTTACCTGCTTTCAAAAATATACCTAATGTCTCTACAGTTGCGCCCGAACTAAAAGAGTTGTGGATGATGATTCTCCGCACCCAGCATTTGGCGATTGGGCGCCTTAAAAACCCCAGTCGCCCTTTAGAAAGGGGAGTATATAAGGTATTTCTCCCGCTTTCCTAGCGTGCCTTCGTGGTGTAGTGGTTCTGCACACTGGGCCGGTATTCCAGAGGTCCGTGGTTCGATTGCTGGCGAAGGCGTTGCTAATTTTTTAATCTGTTTGCTTCCAAAAAATTACCTAATGTCTCTACAAATTTATGTGAATTTTACTAGCCAGCTTGTTTTGAAATATTCTGGCACGAAACTGAGTTTTTTCAGCTGGAAAATCGTAATTTCCTTGTGCCGAAAAATTGGGTTTTCGTCTTCCTGAATCTATGCTGCTTGCGACATTTCTCTCCATTAGCTCGCATAAGGCCCACCAGCGGCCGAACGGTAAATTCGTTGAACACTGATAGTTTGGTCTGGGGTTCGAAACCCGGTGAACAGGCTGGCTGCATGTGAATTTTCACGGTGTCCTCCATGAAGGCATCCCTCCCCTTAGGTAGATAGCCCTCGTGTGCTTTGCCGTAATCAAATTAATTAAAGTAAACCAGCTCGGATAGACGCTAATGAATGGCCTCCAAAGTAAGTGACTTCTCAATGACAGCTGTCAAAGACCGTATTCCGTACTCAAGAGACTTTCGCAGCAAATTTTACAAAATTTAATATTAGGCATAATTTGAGTCGTAGAATCGAAATATGGAAAAAAAATTGGCATGTCATTACAGAAAAAGTTTGATTTTGTGTCAAAATGCCTATGTTAAAATGATGTTGGATATAAATCTAATATATATACTGAGTCGCGCTTTCGAGACATGAAAAACGCAATTTGAATTTCGTCAATTGGCCCAGGAAGACGGCAGAACTGTCCCCCCCTTTTTTTGCGCAGTGTACCTTAATGAATTTGCGTTTTGGTGGGAGCTGACGAAAGTAGAAGTGAAAATAATGGCAAAAGAATAATATGACTGAGTTAAATAAGATAAAAGCCTAAATTTTTTACTTCCTTTCGTTATTCAAATAATGTCTGTACTTTATTTGAAAGGAATCGTGGAATTCACAATAATCTACGAAAAATTAAGCTTATTTTTACATATATTTTATTATATATATATTTTTTCTTTAACAGAGGCTCGAGAACACTTCGAAATCTATGATTTTGAAGGAGAGGGTAAGATCGATGCTAAAGACTTAGGGGATCTTCTAAGATCTTTAGACTGTAAGCCGACTCTTGCTACCGTTAAAAAGAATGGTGGTTCGGAAAAGAAAGGTGAGTGATTATATAGTATTACTAATGTTAAAAAGTCATTGAATATGCATAGCCTATTATGTAAAGGAAAACGTAAGAAATAATTCTCCATTTCATATCAAGAATGGTTCTAAGCACTATAATTATTTTAAATCTCCTGAGGAATAATTTTAGTAATATGACTCTTAAGAAACTTAGTTTTACTTAATTCTTTATTATTTTTGTACATTTCTGCTGTTACCTGTAATTTTAAATGTTTCTGTTTAACGCAAATTTCAAGGTAATACACTTTATAAAATACTGGAAAATTTATTTAAGGCAGGTTGAAATAATTTAAAATTCCTTTCCAAACACTTTTTCACTTTTTTTTTGTAGCTTATAAAAATTAGCTAATTGTGAATCATTTAAAGTATGAATTACAGCAGAGCCGGATTAACCGTTCGGCAAAATAAGCACGTGGTTAGGACATGAAGGGAAAACGGGCTCTATAAAAAATTCCTGCTGCCAGTTGTCGCAATCTTAATCCAGTCCTGTATAACAGTATTAGTGAACAACAACACAAACCAAGGTTAAAAATTGCACTAAAAATTCTAAGGCGTTCAAACGACACTGCATTCAAAATATTCTTATGTTAGATCAGGGTTTCTTAAACTTTTTTTCAGTCGCGGCCCCTTTTTATTACTGAGATTTTTTCGCGACTCCCAGGACTCCATAATATTTACAAAACTTTTGTGGGACCCCATAAGTATTGCGCAAATTCGACGCACGCGTGAGTGAAACTGTCAATTTTTTCACTTGTACGGTAATATACTACTGCAGTTTTAGGTCATTAACTTTAATTTCTAATTTTAAGACATAGAACAATGTGAAAATTCTAAATAAATAACAGACGAAGTGACAACGTCACGTGAACACACAAAGCAAGGAAAATGAACATTTATATTATAAAAAGAATCCGTCGAAACGTTGTCGTTTTTTTCTTTGTCTGTATTGTATTTTCTTTATCTTTTTTCAGATACATTGTGTAAAAATATTTGGTAATTGTAAAATTTATTATAATAAGAAATATCAAAACTGCTAAAATTTTTGGCAACCCCTGCTGCAGGTCCCGCGACCCCCTTGGGTGTCACACCCACAGTTTAAGAAAGTTAGATTAAGTGGCATTAACCATGCTGCAGTAAATAAAAATTTGCCTTATTTGCCAATGTTTGTTTTATTCTGCAAACAGTTTTGTGGACAAAGTGGCCCCACCAGTGTCTGAGTGGTTTAAATTGCTGAATACTGGTAATTCGAACTGATTTGGGTTAGAATCCAGGCTAATGGCCTGGCTAAATGGTTGGTTTTCGTAGCTTCTTCTATGTGTAATGTTACTAGGGACCAGTGTCCTTCAGAAAGTGCTTCATGAAGGCATCTCTCTTCATGAAGGTTCATCATCTTGCACAGGGCTGGCGCCAGAGCGGAGCACCGTTTTTCGGTAATCAGAGGCAGTAATGTTTCGGAATTTTGGAAGAACTGGACGGCAGAATTTAGAAAGGCGAAGGTTGCACCAGGTGGCAACAATGTATAGCACCCTGTAGTAGTGTCACTGTACACTGTAGAATGCCATTATTTGACATTCCGTTTGATTCGATATAACATCTTAATTCATAGTAAAAATTAACACATCATATATATGTGTGTGTGTATATATTAACTATATTTTTTATTAAGTCTTTTATTTAAAATATATTATTAGTTTCAAGAAAGGTATTGTTCTTGAAATAGCAATCCTGACCATTAAACTGATCATGATTCTGACTAGCAAACTTGAACTTTACAGAATACATAAAGGCACTTCCTTTAGCATAGTTTGATATTATTACAAGTATGATGGAAATCCATCACTTAATATCATTATCTCTTTCGTCAATGTATTTGGTGTTAATATCCATTTTAGTGTCGTTCTTCATAATCCTTTCTTATTACAACTTTTATGCAGTGTGCTGTGATGGTATATTTAAACAATGCATTGTGGCAAGTAATGGATCTTGTCTTTATTCTAATGAAATAATTTTACCTTTGTAGGCATGAAAAAATAAAATTACGTACTAATTCCAGTGTGCAGCAATCATATATTGTAAAGGCTTTTTTGCTTTGATTCTGTTCTGCGTTTCTTCTCTAATATCCATATCTAAGTGATAAGTATATGTATATGAGGAAAAATGAACAGGGGAAATAAATTATATCCTGCTAATTAGAAGTGAAACAAATTTATTTGAGCTTGAGATGTAAATCAGTCGTCCTAAGTGTCATTACTGCTAAAAAATTTAATAATTGGTGTAACTAACTAAATTAAAAAATTATAAAAATTTTTAAAAGTGCAAAAGTACGAATAAACAATTAATTAACCTATGTTTAATGCTTCAAACAGAATTTTTCAAGGGGTTAGCATTTGATACTTTAAACTCGTCTTTTAAAACATTTGAACATTTGAAAAAAACTTGAAACATTTGAAGCTTTTAATGAATGCCGAACGACGTGTTTCATTATATATATATAGGTCCAGAATATATAGTAAAGAATAGAAATACAAAAGCAGGGAGTTAATTAAAACTGTGTTTTTAAATTTATTATCGCATAATTTGTTTAATTTTGTAATTTCCGTATTTTTTACTTATACAATCCTAGTGTTTTAGTTGGAACGAACAGTTTTATTTTAAGAACGGTGGAAATGATTTCTATCTACCGTTATTTAAAAGCCATCTTTTTTTTTTTTTTTTTTTTTTTTTTTTTATATTTATTATTATATTATTATTATTATTATTTACTACTTATTTCTTGAATTTCTTTCATTCCATTCTAATTTATTCATTTCTATAGCCTCCTCGTTTCCCACTACAATTCATGCTATATATTTGAAAAAGGCAACTATTTCATAATTTTTGTGAACAGGAAATAGAATTTTACATTTTTAACTTGCTTACATATTGTTTCTTAACAATTTTATTCTGTAATTGTGAATTAATCTGCTTTATTTATTACATCTCCTTACAAATGCTAAGACACATTTAACCTACTACCACACATCACTAGTTTTATTATTGTATGTTTCTTGAATTCTCAGATTATCTTCAACTTTTATTTTAGTGAACAAAAAACAGTTTACATATTTAAAGTAGAAAATTATTTAAAAGAGTTATTGCTATCAGGCATGTTTGATGAGGAAGAAAACTAATTCATAAGCATCGTACGAATGAACCCTTTTTGTTATCATTACACTTTTCAAAGTTTTACTACATTACCGAACATTTGAATTTTCCTGCTGTATTATACGTACATGAATTTTAAGCAAAACATTCGTAAAATGTTATGTAATTCTTCTTACAAAATAAACAATATCATAAATTATGCGGTGTGTTTTGAAAATCATCATTGTGAAAAACACAAAATTTCGTTAACTTATGTCATTTATTCCAAGCAATCAAAATTCCACGAATTCTTTATCTCTGTTGAAATATGAAATGAGAATAGAACTTCGATTGTAACAGGAAACTTCATTGACATATATAGCGTAACGTTCTGGGCTATTGCTCTGAGGTGTCTGTGTGCGGGAAAGGGAAATCGATTAACTAATCGAGAAAAAATTTTCTAAGGGAACCAAATTAGATAAATAAACTACCTGACTAAGATGTTTCACACATATTTACTTTCCATTCTCATTACATGTATTACACAAAACGATTATTTTGAAATAGCATGACTACGCATAGGATGACTTAGAGTATTTTACACTAGTCAATATATTCAGTTAATACGTTTTTATTTAAAACGTCAACCTCAAGAACAATTTTTAACGCGTTAAATTTGGAGAAATTTTTATTATTTAAAAGCTCTTCAAACTTGATGATGAGAATTAGAATCTGTTTCATTTGTATACTATAAATAAAATCAATTGAATAGATTGTGTATAAATGAAATCATCACAACGAATATTAAGACAACTTTGACCAAATTTTTAAACTAATTTATTTATATTATTAGCTGATTTATTTGTAAATTAATAATAGTTGTGATTAAATGTTAAATTTACGTTTATTATTTTACGAATAATAATTACAAATCAACATTCTAATAAGCGCTAATACGCGGAACTGTAAATGCAAGTTATTTCATGGCTATTTCAAAGTAATTTTTATTGTAAACTGTTTTTCGAAGTAATATGTTTCTTTCTTACTGTAAAATGCATTATTTTAGGAGAAAAGAAGTTAACCTTTGAAGAATTTTTACCAATCTATAGTCAGATTAGGAAAGAAAAAGAAATTGGCACCTTAGAAGATTTTATGGAAGGTCTAAAAGTATACGATAAAGCAGAGAATGGAACTATGCTCGCAGCAGAGTTAGCACATGTTTTACTTTCACTAGGTAAGTTTCTAAAATTTGAAAAATATTGCTTTTTTTATCGCTGTGTTTTCATTTCATTTTGAAAGAAGAAAGGAAACCATTATTTTGGGAATGTTTCTGCAAGTGAAATCTGATTTGAGAATGAGCTTATTGATAACAAAATTTTGTCAGGAGACTTATATGATATAGCAGAATATCTGTAAACTATGTCCCAAACTGTGGTAATTATATGACTTAGATGACGAAATATATGCAGAGGCAAGCCACCGTCTGATAGCTCTACGAACCCATCCATAAAAAAGGCTACCATACCTAAGGTGACCTATATATGGCTGGAATCGAGCCGTGCGATTAGTAAAATATTTTTCACTCTCAGAATTGTTGTACGTAGAATATCTGATATCCATATATCCATAGCATCATGGCTACCAAATGTATCCAAGGTTGACTATATGCGTCGGCCTTCTTTTTTTTTTTTTAGTCCAAAGGGGCAATTTTCCGAGAAGGACTATTAATTTCGTTTTGGCATTTTGCGTTCATTCACTATGAACGTTGATTCACTTTTCAAATTGTTGCTACCAAATATTAGATCCTGCATTATATTTAAAGAAATTAAACAATGAAGAATCTGCATAAATGTGTTTCTCGCGTTCTGATAAAACAACGGTACATAGAGCCATCAAATTTTGAATAACGTACGTTTGCACCCGAATATGGGCATCTGGAAGCCCGAATTTGGAATTTGTTTTATTATCTATTTCATATTTTGTAAAACTTTAGTGAATCTTTGATTAACAATCTCAACGATTTCAAAGGAAACAAGGCCTACCAGCGGCCGAGCGGTAACGTCGCTGAACACTGATAGTTCGGTCCGAGGTTCGAATCCCGCGAACGGGCTGGCTGCATGAGCGTTTTCGTCGTTTTCCCCATGTGTAACGTGTATACGAGCCAGTTTCCCTTAGAAAGTCCTCCCCGAAGGCATCCCTCCCTTAAAGCAGATAGCCCTCGAGTGCTTTGCCGTAATCTAAAACCAAACCAAATCAAAGGGAACAATGGCAACACTGCGCGGGGAAAAAACATTTTAATCGCCAGCGCACGAGACTGCGTATCGGAAATTCTAAAGCTATGCGCATTTTTAAATAATTTGGGACATTGCTGTTGAACTAAATTTTCTGGTTTAAGTGGAAGAACATAGTTAATAAATAAAGACACGCAAAACGTTAAAAAAGCCCCTTTGGGCGTAATGTAAAATCTGATTTAAAAAAAATTATGTATTTATTTATTTTTAATTCTTTTAAGGGGGGCATTGTATAAGTACTAGCGACGTCACTTGAGTAGTTGCGACATGCAAAAAGATATCATCCCAATTGTACGATAATCCAACCTAACATCGAGATATTGATCACTGCCAATAGCAACGTATGTTTAAGCGTGCGACAGTAGAGTTCTTCATGTTACCAGGTTCCTGATGCAGAAATTGTTTAGTTGAAAGCTCTTAAATAGGAAGTTTTAAGAGCCTATGATCTAAACACCTCAAACTGTGAATTTGTTTTTCGGGGGTGGGTTGCTTTTTTGTCAAGTTGCTAATGTGTTAGCTATCCCTCTCACATACATTCTCGGCCCACCAGCGGCCGAGCGGTAAAGTCGCTGAACACTGGTAGTTCGATTCGAATTTCGCGAATGGGCTGGCTGCATGGGCGTTTTCGTGTTTTTCCCCATGTATAACGTGTATACGAGCCAGTCTCCCTTAGGAAGTCCTCCACGAAGGCATCCCTCCCCTTAGGCAGATAGCCCTAGTGTGCTTTGCCATAATTAAATACACCAACACATACATTCTCACCTTCTTCTTCTTTTTTTTTTTTCAAAATTATCTGAAATCGAAAGCAATTTGAAATTTATAACTCTTAAAATAAAAACGAAACAAATCTTCTAATAAAGATAAAAGCTTCATTTTCAGATTTCTTAAACGATTTTCATTTTAAATTTCTTTCTTTCTCTTGACTTCTTCAATACAGCTTTTTCGTTTGCAGCCGGAAAATTACGTGATTTTTTTTAAATTAATGATTAAATTTTTTTTTAAATATCATTGTACAAAATAATATCGAACATTTTTGTTACGGCACGTTGTTTTATTGAGGCGAAAAATTAAAGGTTCATAATGATGTTTTTCTATATCTTTCAAATTAAATGTAACGTTAGTAGGATTCTCAATATAAAAAACAGTTTCGTGTACCTCACCCAATTCTCTATAAGTATTTAGGCCATGTTTTCATTTTGCTTTTATTTTTCCCTTTTTCCAACAGCAGTGTTAAGCTTATTCATAATTATGTAAAGACAGTTTCTTCTAAATAATCCCCCTGTTGCCTTGAACTACTTTTTTAGATGTTTTTTCATTTGGTTTTGCCATAAAGTATACATATTGTTACGAAATGCCTAGCCGCGGTAAGATAACTTCCCCGCAAAGGAGGTTGAGTGTTGCTAGAAAATGACGAGGAGAGGCAGGGTTGTCAGTTTTGGCGCGAAATCGCCTATTTGGCGACAAAATTGGTGATACGCATTCTCAAAGGCAGGCTAAAAGCTCTATAAACTCTGCCTGTATGCGGAGTAGCAGTGCATCGTGAATTTATTGTCAGTGTATCGCGAGTTTTATCGTGAAGAGTATTTTGAGAGAGTTGAGCTCCGAGAGCGACCGAACCTAGTCAGGAGCTGTACTGTAGTGCTTTGCCGGGAAGCTGTCTTCACCGTTGTAGCCTGAAGGCGGTGTTGGTGATTGTATCAGCGTCTTTGTCGTAGATTTTCGAGGACTGTAAACCTGTTTTTGGAACTGTCCTGTGGAATACTAACGAATAAATTGTGTGTTTGATTCTTCACCAACTGTTGTCATCCATCACTCTAAATCCACGAACCCGTAGATTGCAGCAATATTTTTATACTGCTGCTCGATTTCTCGTAGAATCAACCGACTATTGCTTGTTGCCTTTTTAGTAGCATTAAAGTGGGGGGGGGGGCACTAACGTTATATTTTTAGTCATACTTTGTAACCCTCTGGATTCATTGCTATTTTATAGGAGCCTTTTATTTTTACACCTAACACCAAGACTCGCATGTATGTATCCTTCTTCCTATCATGTAATGCTTTAAATCAGTATTTAGAGAATTAGCCTTTTCATAATTTTTCAAGTATATGCAAAACCCTAATGATTTTGTAAACTATGACCTAAATTCCTCTCTCTGGATAAGGTTTACGTGTCTGGAAACGTAAAATTGAAAAATTATGATGCTCTTCCTTGATTTACTTCAGCATAAATAAATAAATGTTGCAGTTTCGAAAAATTGGAATTTGGAAGTGAATAAAATTAGAAGATGAATAAGTTACGGAGGAGAAAATGCTCAAGTGAGAATAAACATACATTATCAGAATAATGCAAAATTAAAATACGAGTATTGAAGGAGATATCAGTTGCCCAAAATTAGTACTGCATTTCGTAAAAATTTACAATTGTTGACAATTATAAAATTTACTAATTAAATTAAAATTTAATTAGTAAATTAATAGTTAGTTAATTAGTTAATATTTTTTTAATTATTAAAAAAATATTAATTTTTGAGCCTGTTTTACTCAAAACTAAATTATTTAAGTTCATGTTTCTTTTTTTTACCCGATCCGTTACTGGCCGAGTGGAAACGATCGCTGAAAATTTGCAATTGGAAGCGGTTATCGGCGAACAAGCTAGTTGCATAGGGATTTGGGACTTTCCCCCCCCCATGTGCAATATGGTTAGGAACCAAGCTTCAATTTAATTTAATTTTTGAACCTGTTTTACTCAAAACTAAATTATTTAAGTTCATGTTCCTTTTTTTTACCCGATCCGTTACTGGCCGAGTGGAAACGACAGCTGAAAATTTGCAATTGGAAGCGGTTATCGGCGAACAAGCCAGTTGCATAGGGTTTGGGGACTCTCCCCCCCCCATGTGCAATATGGTTAGGAACCAAGCTTCAGAAGTCCTACGTAAGCAACCCTAATAAAGCTCAGAGTTAGCTGATTTTGGTGCAATTCAGTTAACAAACCAACCAGATAGCGTTTCCTTTTTCCATTATTACTCATATTGTTTATAAGTCATATTGTTTATTACTCATATTGTTTATAAGTTTATTGTTATTGTTTATTTATTTATGCAGAAGTCCTACGTAGGCAACCCTAATAAAGCTCAGAGTTAGCTGATTTTGGTGCAATTCAGTTAACAAACCAACTAGATAGCGTTTCCTTTTCCCATTATTACTCATATTGTTTATATGTTTGCGACGTATTTGTACTATAATGGTAAGTATATATTTTGAGGCAGAGATTTCAAACTTTGAGAGTAACATGCTGAAAGCGTAATATTCATTACAAATTTAAACCTTCGAAACTGATCCTGCAAATTTATGAACATTACGCTGATTCTTGCTGTTTTAACTCTTCTCATTAAAAGGAATATTCATTTCAAAAAGTGACTTTTGAATAAAAGCATACAGCTTAAATTCGTTTTGACCATCGGAAAAACTAATGCTGAAATAAAATGCTTTCGTTTAATTATATATATATATGAGGGTTAATTTTACGGTTTCACAGAAATCGGTATTTAGAATAGGTATCAGTAAGGGCTTTCACAATTCTTTTAACAGCGCCGTAATCTTAGAACATTTACTAATACCATTTATTTTCCAAGATAAAAATTGTTTGTTCAGAGTTGTCTAGGCAAAATTAAACTAAATTATGTCCTAGAATATTTTGAAACAATTAAAATAAGTATTGAAATAAATTTAGGCCTTATTCTTCAAGCCCAAATTGAAGATGTGTAATAAATAGCAATATCTTCAGTTTGTTTTATAGGACTTTCGGTTATAAAGTATTTCACCCACTTTCCTAGCGTGCCTTCGTGGTGTAGTGGTTCTGTACACTGGGCCGGTATCCAGAGATCCGTGGTTCGATTCCCGGCGAAAGCGTTTGCTAATTTTCCAATTCTCCTGCTTCCAAAAATATACCTAATGTCTCTACAGTGGCGCTCGAACTACACTCATGTCCATAAATTAAGGATAATTCGGAGTCACGCGGAAATCGAACTCTAAAATAAATATATCACCTGTAAAAATCACTACACACATCTTCAAGAATCATATGCAAATTTCAGGAAGTAACCAGATGACATCGATGGTACGTCACAATGACGAGAGTGTAAGAGAGTGATATATAAGGAATACAGGCAAAGAACTAAAATTGTTCGCAGGCGCTTTATAAGCATTTCAGTGCAATAACCGAATAGTTATGACACAAAGGATGCATATGGATGACTTTATACGTGGTAGAATTATCGGCCGTCTGGAATGTGGGCGTACCCAACTGGAAGTTTCAGAAGAACTTGGAATGGCCCAGAGTGTCATCTCCAGGCTTTGGCAACGATTCCAAGATGATGGTAATGTGAGTAGACGTTACAGCACAGGTCGCCCCAGAGTTACAACATCGAATGATGACCGGTATTTGGTAGTTACTGCCACGAAACAGGCGGAGCACAGCCTCAGACCTGTCTCGTGAGCTCTCTTCAGCCACTGGTACGACAATTTCAAGGCAGACCGTGTACAGACGCTTAGGGCAGATTGGTCTATATGCTCGTAGACCTGTCAGATGTGTTCCACTTACTGCAACTCACTGTCGCCTGCGGTTAGCCTGGAGTAGAGAGCATGCATTGTGGACACCGCAACAGTGGGCTTGTGTGATGTTTTCCGACGAGTCCAGGATTAGCTTGCAGTCTGATTCTCGCCGGACTTTCATATGGAGAGCTCCAGGTACCCGTTACCACCTAGAAAACATCATTTAATGACACCGTTACGGTGGTGCAGGTGTGCTCGTTTGGGGTGGAATTATTCTGGGTTCCAGAACTGACCTGCATCTTTAAATTGGAACCATGAAAAGCCAAATCTATCGGGACGTCATTCTGGAACAACATGTACGTTTGTTTCGGGGCGCCATAGGCGCACAATTTGTGTTTATGGATGATAATGCCCGTCCTCACCGTGCAAACATCGTAAGCGAATGCCTTCAATCGGAGGATATCACCCGTATGGACTGGCCAGCATTCTCACCGGACTTGAATTCAGTAGAGCACGTGTCAGACATGCTTGGCCGACGAGTTGCAGCCCGTCAACCTCCTCCTACATGTCTACCAGAACTTCGGAAAGCATTGCTTTTTGAATGGTGTAATATCCCCCAAGATCAGATCGATAATTTAATACTCAACATGCCTAGGCTATTGCATCGTCTGGGAGACATACAATGTATTAACAATCATACCAACCATGTAAAATTGTTTTTTTGTAAATAGGTCTTTTTTTGTAATTTTCTCCAGGGAGAAAAAATCGCTAATTTTTTAAATAATATCAAACATATAGCATCTTTTTTTGCTCTTTACCTTTTGTTTAATAAATGAGCTTTACAAATAAGTCAAATTTGTTTTGCTTCTAACTCTTCCTTTGCCTGATTTTGCATTATCCTTAATTTATGGACATGAGTGTAAAAAGGTGTTGGATGATGATTCTCCTCACCCACGATTTGGCGATTGGGTTCCCTTAAAACCCCCAGTCGCCCTTTAAAAGGGGGAGTATATAAGGTATTTTTCCCGCCTTCTTAGCGAGCCTTCGTGTTTAGGTGGTCAGCACACTCAGCGCGTAATTGAGAGGTCAATGGTTCGATTCCAGGCGAAAGCTTTGCATATTTTTCATCTTGCCTGCTCCAAAAAATCCTAATGTCTTTACACGGTTCGCCGCATATTTAGTGTGCCCCCATTCCACGAAGGCACTGTGCATTTACGGCCCACCAGCGGCCGAGTGGTAAAGTCGCTGAACACTGGTAGTTCGGTCCGAGGTTCGAATCCCGCGAACGGGCTGGCTGCATGGGTGTTTTCCCCATGTGTAACGTGTATACGAGCCAGTTTCCCTTAGAAAGTCCTCCACGAAAGGCATCCCTCCCTCTTAGGCAGATAGCCCTAGTGTGCTTTGCCATAATTAAATACACCACCACTGTGCATTTACAAACATCCACGCTTTCTCCGGGATTCGAGCCCGTGCTTTCTGCACAGTAGCCAGCGTCACTATACCACCTGGGTGGCGGGCTCAGTTCTTATTTAATTTATTACATCCTCTAGAAGCTTTGCTTAATCTCCATTAATATGTGATATCTATCTATATTTAAATTACTATATATCTGTGTGATTTTTTTACCGTATTTAGATCTGAAAGTTACCTTTAATAAAATTCTTGTAGTAAAGATTTTACGTACTTTAACACATATTTAGCAAATTATTGTACTCTTCTGAATATAATAAACTTACACTGAAGATTTTATTTTTGAGTTGTGTGCTATATTTGCTTACATTTTTCATTTGTGCGCTTTCATAAATATATTATTATATTATAATATACATATTCGATATCTTATCTAGTAACTTAAAAAGCGTTATAATGAAAGAAAATTTGTAACTTCTGGTTCTTAGCTGGCTTGTTGTTAAATAGCGTCAAGCTAGTCTTCAGTGCTGTTAAAAAATGATGCTAATATTTTATATATCTGTAAGATCCCTAAACTTCTATATTTTTAACTCCTTGTGTGTTTAGGTGAACGACTGACAGACGCTGAGTGCGAAGATATTTTAAGATCATGTGGAGGTACCGAAGATGATGACGGATTTCTGAAATATGAACGTGAGCACGCCATATTTTGCCTTGATTTTGATTTTCTTCATATCCATTATTTCTAAGTTTCATTTCCAAAAATCTTTTATTTTATCGATAGTAATTTTATTTTATGATTTTTTAATTATTTTTTTAATTCTGAAACTGTATATTTTTATAATAAACAAAAACTGGTATCTTTATACATATATATATTAATTTTAGCAAAAATAGTTTGGGTAAATCTAAAAAACTTAGTGTTTCAAATAAGTCGAAAGTAACTAAAAATAGGTTCTCTTAACGAGTCTCTCCCAAATATCCGTCTTCCTCACTATGGCTATTTTAATCGAGTGGGGGAGTTAGTTGGTGATGAATCAGCTAAAACAAACTTCTTCCGTTCAATTTTTCCCCCTTAAGCATATGCTTGATAAGAAGCAGTAATTCTGTCTTGTAGATTCTCATTATTTATGAATGTATGAAAGTAGGGATGCTAAAAATTAGTTGGAAGTGATAAGTGAACATAAACCAGGAATTTTCTAAAGGATAAATATCTGAGGATCGATAGACTTATCAATGCGAAAAGGTCAAACCTTAAGAGGTGCTCACTAATGATTTGATTCTTTTAGTAATTAACAAAATATTATTCCTCAGCTTCTGTTAAGCTTAAATGTGACCGGACTGCATATTTCTTTGTTGTTTTCCGTTTCAGCAATATAAATGCTTGAGAATGTATTATCTGAATTTAAACCTGTAAATTTAATTTTATTATAACAGAAGTTCTAAATTTAATTATTTTCGGTCTAGGACGCAAAGAAATGAAGCAAATACCAAATTCTAACAAATGTATTTGAAATACTTTGGAAATAGAGTTCACTGGCGGTTGATTCTACTGAACGCTGGGCTTACCATGGCTAGGCAGTTAAAGGCTATTGAGTTCATCCCGGATTCGAACCCAAGCGAATGGGGCCGGCTGCATGGTTCTTTTCCACGGTTTTCTCCATGTTTAACTTGAACATGAGCCAGTTTTCCTTAGAAAGCTCTCCACGAAGGCATTCCTTTCCTTAGACAAATAGCCCTCGTGTGGTTTATCATGTTCAAATAATCTCATCTAACATAAATTGAACGCTGGGCGTTCAGCTCGCATTTGATTCCTTACTGCTTCACTGAACTCACTAGCTGAGGGAGTTTGTGTATAATGTGAGCACGAGATGCAGCTCTACTGATAGCTGTAAGAACATAGAATCTTAAAATACAGGTCTTATAAATGCTGTAACAGGTCTTAAGAGCATTTTTTTATTAATTTCTAATTATTTATACAAGTAATATATACTATGTTCTTCTTTAAATACTTCTATATTCTATATATCTCAAGGCTGTTCTTAATTTTTAGTTTTGGTTACAATCGATTCGGCAGAACTATTTCTTTTACTCTGAGTTAAAATCAAATTGTAATAATTATTTTGACAGTTGACCATTATTTAGTTAATATAGTGAATTATTGTTTATTTGGACAGCTAATTGGTTGTTCAGTTATTAGAATCCCTTCACTGCTTATGTGTAATTTATTTTTAAAGTTACTTCTTTTCTTTTTTTCAGTATAACCGATAAATTTTATTGTTAATGTTTTGAAAGATTCGATTCAGTTGATAAAATCGTGAAAGGTAGAGAAAAATTTCTGAACATAGGAAAAAATTTTTAATAACTTTGAAAGCATTTCTCGTATCTCAGAAAATCATATAATACTTTGGGTAAGAAATTGCTTACGTTAGAAACTGATTTATTCCTAAAAAAACTGTGCAATTTTAGTTACTTTATCTTTTTTTTTTTTTTTTTTTGAATCATCTAATTACTTCAGAATTCTTTTTGGAATCATTTAATTACTTAAGAAAAACATGCGAGACTTAATCAGAAATTGAAAGAAGGCTATTCAGTGCGTATTAGTCTTGTTGCTATCAATGTACCAGTTTGGATCTTACGTCTGTCTGGATGTAAAATATCTCAAACTGAATTTCCTTTAAGAGCAAAGCTGATTAAAATGCCATATTACTTAGAAGCTAAAATTTTTCTTTCACGTTAAAAGGTAATCATTATTATGAAACAGTTAGCAGTTGTAGCCAAGTAAATTGTTTGCCCTAATATTTTATACCTTGTGTTGATTCCATTTTCCAAACAAATAATAATTTAAAGAAACAACTTGTTTTATGAAATGTAATTATTATAAAAATAAACAAAAATAAGTAAAGATATAGGTAAAAACGGATCTGTAAAAATGGGTATTTTACATGAACATATATTCTCTTCTGTATGTTTCATTTTATGTTATTACAATTATTATTGTTGTTATTATTATATAAACAACTGTTCATATCAAAATCATTTTTGTCTAAAGAGTTCTACGAAAGGAAAAAAACGTATGAATGGGATTGGCAAGCATGAGAATTTGAGAATACCTGAAAGAGCATTATTTTATTATATATGCTTTAAGTAATCTAACTAATCCACTTCATCTAAGTCAGGAGTTCCAGACCATTTTTGCTTCATGCACCCTTTTTACCATTGCTAGTCTATCATTCCCCTTCCTCATTCCAAAACTCGAAAACTATATATACATTTATTTAAATTTAGATTATTTTTTAATTTGTTTCATAAGTTAAACAAGAAAAGTATAGAAAATGTTAATAAGTACCAAAACTTGAATAAAAGTAGTTTTTTTATATTCATAAAATAAAACTGTATACTTAATAGGGGGATAAAAGGCTGACCGCATTCCCCCCCTGAAACTAGGAACTCCCCCCCATAGGGGCGAATTCCTCTATGCTTGAGAACTCCTGATCTAATCTATTCAAAAAACAAATATAAAATAATAAAAATAATTGAAAGTTTCTTAAATTTTTAGTTACAATGTCATACGTAAGTTAATCAGATTTTTAATGATTTACTTCACTGAAATTAGAAGTAATAATAAGCTATGTACGTTAATTTAATGGTTTAAATATTACCACTCCTGAATTAAGTAGCACAACTCCATTATATTATATTAAGAAACACATCAGAACACAACATATGTAGGGATAAGTAATTCTATACTGCCGCCAACTTTATAGCTATAAGGGAAGAGTTATACGGAGGATGTAGGGGAAGTTATAATGTCTTCTAGTTCTGCTCCAGACATTCAAACAAAACATATAGCAATATGTAATCAGTGACTTTATAATCAAACTACTCTTTTCCTAAATAAGATAAGAGCTTCTGATTCATTAAAACTAAAAATAGAACGCTATTCTTAAAAATTTTGAAAAATCAAATAAAAATTGTAAATAAATTTTCATTATTCATTTTTTTAATGTAAATTTTCTATCTTTATTAATGTTCACTCTACTACAAAAAAAATATTTTCTCTTATAGCTTTTGCAAGAACTGTTATGGCTGGGCCTTTTCCAGAAGAAGTCAAGTAAATTCATTCTTCCAATATTCAGATGCAAGCCTGCACTTTCCATAGCCGAAATAGTGATGTCAGTGCTTAACAGAAATAGCAATGCTCACCATAATGTAATGTACTCCAAAATTACATTAACAAGTACCTGAAGTGCAATGTTGCCTCTAAAGCCACAGTGATAATATTTATTTGATGCATGTACCTCAAACTTCTTGCAGCACATAAACAAAAAGTGATTTAATAAAGTGCCAGGTGAACTCAGATCTTATTGTCAATAATATGTTTGAAAATCTAATTCATCTCAAAAGAATGTCTTACAAAACTTTACTGTGTTTTATTCTAATGCAGAGTGGATGAGGAAAAATGAATACATACCTTCTTAGGGCTAAACTTATGAATCTTTTATAACCAACATTCCTTCAAGGGTTTGAAATAACAAAAAGAAATTCAGAAGTTGAATTAAACTCAGTTTTCTCAGCACTGCTGCACTTCAGAAAGCAGTACGCAAACTTACAGTCAATGTTTCTAAATAAATATTGGCCTTCCTAACAGCATTGGGTTAGCGAAGGTTAACTGCGTACTGATTTGGGTCTAACTTCAAATCCCAGAAAGGGCATGGACGTTTGTGTTTACAGTATCTTTGAGGAATGGGAACACTTAAAAATATCTTGGTCCAGAAGCTCTCGAGAGAGATATGCGGTTCGGGATGAAAGTTACGAGTTTGTCATATCCCATTCCCTGGACAAACTTCGGTTGAAAACTAGAATGGAACTTGAAATAACAAATAATCCTCTTCCGATTTGACTAAATTAAGTAATCCAATCCAAAGAAATGTCTGCAGGCGCTATCATAAAGCTTTTCTATAAAAAAATGATTGACTATATAAATTGCTTATGAAACAATTAAGGGTCATTCCTAATTGTTTAAATTTGCTAGCAGTTTGCATATAATCAAAGTAGTTTGTAAATTAGTGATGGCGGGAAATTTTTTCGAACTTATTTCTTGCTTGCAGTATGTATAAGAACTGCACAGAAATATTGCTTTTTCTTCTCTTTCTTTCTGTTTGCTTTTTCTTAACTTCTAATTAAAAACAGGTAGCTTACTTATACCTGCAATTCATTGCACACTTAAAGCAAATAAGCATATAAAATCAAAGTAAAATGTGAAATCGAAGTAAGTCCTTACTTTTCTGCCTATGAATACAAAGGTATTGGTGGATTCCAATATATTAATTTAAGAATTTTCTTCCTTCTGCGAAAACTGAAAATAGATAATATGTAAAGAATGTGTTGCACTATCTTCATGTGCTTTTTGTCATAAATATGACTAAGAAATGGTCTACAACTACCATTATGATTCGAAACGTAAATCAAAGAATTTATGTCACGTCGATTGGTAATAGCTCTGAGAAGTGTTTGCCACGACACATGAAGGATGGAAGTTAAGTTAAAAATCTGATGTTTTTTAAGAACGGAAAAAAATTTTAGGACGTGTTGATGATACATACCCTGGTAAATTACGTAACATAACACTAAAAATACTGAAAAATTCCTATAAAGAGGATTTTAATGCTTGAACAATTAAGGACGTACGTATGCTCAGTTTTAATTTAGAAAGTGAATTCTCTGAAAGAACTGTCAGTTAAACAGCCACATAATTGAAAACGGTTACTAATAATTAAACAGTTATTAATAAAATTGTTATTAACAGTTCTTTACATATGAAAGTTTTAAAAAAAAATGTACATCCGCTTAAAGTGTATGAACCTAAATTTTTTTAGAAAGAATGTTATTATCTTTTTTATTTGTTACGTGCGATTTTAGTGTTCTTCATAAAAGCGTTTTAAAATTTATTCGATTTTTCAGATCAATCCACTGTTCTTAACTATGTTTTATTCTTCTTTGGATATATTTGCTTTGACCTGGACATGAAAAAGAAATTCAGTCATTTTACTTTAATGGCAAGCATAACTGCAATACTTCTAATAACTTTTCGGATAAATGAATATCGTAAACATGTAGACTAAGGTTAAGTTAAAAAGAAATACATAATCAGTAGAAAATACGTGGCTTTTAATGGTGAGTTATTAAGATGTAACACACTGTGAGACAATTCCGATGAGTGACCATCTTACACAATCCTGTCTTTGAAAGTTCTTTATCGCTTTCTGCGGGTGCTACGTATATGTAAAAATGCAAATAATGTATTTATACTTAAAATTAATATCAGTGATCTACTATACTCAAAGAATAAAATAATTTTCATACAAGCTGCTGCTGCATCGAGATATTATACATACATACCCCAAAGGGACTGAATAGATTGGCATCCATATTCAAATCATATATTTTTATCACTATCTTTTTCCTACTATCCGCAACTTTCTTGCAGAGTTTAATATTAAGTGTTTTTATTGAGTTCTAAGACAGTAAAACACTTAACACTGCCAATACAGTAATTTATGCAAACAGTTATGAAAGCTAACAATCTTTAGGATAATTCAAGCAAAAGGTTCCACTTGCTGTAGAAAAACTGATAATTCTTACTTTTAAAAGTTTAAGAAAAATAATTATTTTCGCCAAAATGAGGAATAATAATATTTGTTGACTTTAAAATACTGTACATCCGCTTTTTACAGTAGTATATAAAATAGACAATGCCACTTTCTACAATAAATCTACAGTAGAATGGCATTTATCAGAACCTACGTTGCTTGATTTATTTCGAATAGCATACTTTTTGCTTACAGGTAAATAAAATTTATTTTCCGTTTTCGTTAAAACAGAAAGGACTCATCTTTGTACATATTATATTCGACATTATGCATACTTTTAGTCTAAAATAAACTTAAGCATTTTTCTTTCCAATTTAGCATTTTTATTTAATTATTCAGTTTGTCATTTTCATTTAGACCACGTACAGGAAACCGTTCAATTTGTAATTCTTAAAATTTATTATTTCTTTACAACGGTTATTTTTAAATTACGAAACCAACTGCTAAGTGAAATTAAGAACTCATGATAAAAATTAATTAATATATAATATTAATATTAATCTAATAGATATCCTAAGTCGCTACAGGTGATACACAAAATTATTTTCAAAATGCTTCAGTTTGTAAAATTATGAAGTTTAAAAGGAAGTACTCATTTGATCTCATAAAAAAGTAAATCAAGCTTTAAAAATTCTCTTCTAGAATGCTCTTGTAATCCACTGACAAGAATGGCAAAAATTCATTTGGAATCTTATGAAAGTGTTCTACAATTTTTGTATCTTTAATGTACACCTTGCACAAAAAGAAAAAAAAAATTACGCCCAAAGTGGGATTTTTTAAAGTTTTGTGTATTACCTTTATTTATTTAATATGTTCTTCGCACTTAAACCAGAAAATTCAATTCAACAGAAAAATTACAAAATATTTAAAAGAGCATATCTTTAGAATTTCCGATGCACAGTCTCGCGCGCTGGAGGCATTTTTTTTTTTTTTTTTTTTCCCTTCCGTACAGTGTTGCAATTGCTCACTTTGAAATCGTTGAGTTTCTTAATCAAAAACTCATAAATGCTTTACAAAATATGAAATAGATAATAAAACAAATTCCAAATTTGAGCTTTCAGATGCCCATTTTCAGGTGGAGATGTACGTTATTCAAAATTTGATAGCTTTAGGTACCGCTGTTTTATCACAATGCGAGAAATATACATGCATTTATGCAGACTCTTCATTATCTAATTTCTTCAAATATAATACAGGACTCTAATATTTGGTGGCAATAATTTTAAAAATGATTGCCGTTTATCGTGAATCAACTGAAATGGCATGCATAATTGTTTTTCATATTTCGATTCTACGACTGAAATTATGGTCAAATATTAAATTTTGTAAAATTTGGTGAGAAACTTATCGAGAAATTTTAAATTTTCTTAATCTTGGCGCACTTTCTTCAGTTTGCGTTAATAATAATTTACTTGGCGAAATTCTTAATATACATAGCAACCTATTCACCTTTCCCTTTTTTTCACCGCGCACGAATGGAAGAAAAAAGGTGCATCGATCATTCTTTCAAATAATTTTCACTAAGTGCGTAAATCACATTTGACGTTATTATCACTTATAACAAATTTGCGAAATTTGAAAACGCACGAATATACAAATTCATGTGTATCTTTGGAAATTTTGAATAAAAAACTAATTTTTTTGCAGGTATGACTAGAAATACATCTACTTTAAGATAATGTAAAAATTTTATTGATCATAATTTAAACAATTTTTTTGGAAAAATTTATAAAAATTACTAACAAATAAAAATTTAAGATATAAATCAGAAATAGGCTGCGAATTTCCTTTCGATTGAACCTAAATTTCGAATTGTGAAAGAAGGAATCATTTAAGTTTAATAAGAAAAAGGGATATTAATAAATATATACAATATTCAACCAAATTCAGTTAACACTGAGGAGCTAAAATTTTGAGAGTTAGTTTTATTTTAAAATTACTTGTGCTATTTTTACAAAACTTTGGTATAATTTGAGTCGTAGAATTGAAATTTGGAAAAAAATCGGAATGTAATTTCAGAAAAAGTCCGATTTTGTGTCAGAATACCTATGTTAAAACAATGCTATATAAAAATCTAATATATATCCTAAGTCGTACTTTCGAGACATGAAAAATGCAAGTTAAATTTCGTCAATTGAGAATGGGAGATACAGATCTTTCCAATTTTTTTTCGTGCAAAGTGTACAAGATTTGTGTTTTAGTATGAAGTAAATTTTAACTAACGGGATTCAATAAGTGACTTAATACTTGAAAGTCATTCCTATTTAGAAATTCTAAAGACTACTATTTTTCAGAGCAGTGCGTTGAGATTGCTTGTTTACGTTGTAAAATGTGCAGTTATTAAAAAAAAAAAAAAAAAAAAAAAAAAAAAAAAAAAAAAAACTAAGCAATGAAAAAGTTGGTTTAAAAACTAGAGATAAGTGGTTCTCGGACTCCCTGATTCAATGACATTTTTCTCAGTTGTTTTGGTTAAGCCGTATTTTGTTTAAGACATTTTTTATCATGCCATAATTTGGATTGTAGTTAAAAATGAGAAATAAAAAAGGAGTTATTCTTAAAGTTAGATTTTTCAGATCAGCGTTGCTACACGCTTTAGGCTATGTTACGCATCTACTTAAATTTTAAGACGTATGGATTCTAAGTTAATCTCTAAATCAGAGTTCAGATATCACAGAATGTTATTAGAACTTAATTTTTCGATATTTAAAT